AAGTAATATTTAGTTATTTATTCTTTTCTTATGGATAAGGAGTTATTCACTTCAGTAATAATATTGGAAATTATGCCAAAAAATTCTTAGAAGATTACTAAGCCATGAAATTAGAAGCAAAATTGATGTAATAAATCATATACATTAAGTAGGATTAAGGATTCATATCACAAAAAGTACACTAATGTGCCCAACCACCACATAATCTCTTAAATTTATAAGGTAACATGTAAAGCTAAACGCAAAACTAATTTTTGAAGTCATAGTGAGGATGCAATTGAATTGATTGTGATGAGTTTACCTATTCGACTTGGGTGTAAGGAATTTTTTTCATAAAAGTGTAATTGAGGAACCATAAGCAATTGTAAAAAAATTAGGAAACAGATTCCTATCCACCTATTACATGAAGATATTTCCATTCTATTTTTCTATTTTAAAATTTCTACAACTATCTTATTCATGGATTATTATTTTGTTTAGAAATTCTACCACTCTTGCATTACATATTAGCATATACATACATCATATCTATTGCATGTCAATTTCCACATGTATTTGACAAATGTGGTCAAGAAAATGTAACTAAGGAAACTTGTAAGCAGTTACAGGGAAGTGATTGACGGAGAGGATTGAAAATCTTTATAAAAGGTGCAACATCGATTTACACACATCATGTTTTTTGCATGTCATTTTCCACATGTACTTGACAAATGTGGTAAAAAAAAACGTAACTAAGGAAATTTGTAAGCAGTTGTAAGGAAGTGATGGACGAAGAGGATTGAAAAACTCGAGTTATTTTTGACTTCTTTATAAAAGGTGCAACATCGATTTACACATATCATGTTTTTAGCATGTCATTTTCCACATGTACTTGACAAAAGTGGTCAAAAAATGTAACTAAGGAAAGTTGTAAGCAGTTGCGGGGAAGTGATGTACCAAGAGGACTAAAAAACTGAAGTTATTTTGTAAAAATGTTTAAACTTCAATGTTACACAATAACAGAAACAGAAATTGTTATTATCAGTTACTAAGTTTCATTTAGCAAACTTAGCCACCAAATGAAGCATCTCATAGGATGAACAATATAAATGCAGATTCCTATATGAACAAATGCATGCTCTCATAGTAGCATTGATTTCAAAAAGTTACATGTGAAAGAGACCGACATGATTGTTAGCTGCATGCATTTTCTTTCCTCGTTTTTTTTACTTAAATCCATTTCAAACTTTGCGTACTTATTAATTTTTTATATTTTTATCTTTCTAAAATGAATTGAAATGATTAATAAAATAGTCAAGAAGGAAGAAGCAGCAGCCTCCTCATGAGAGCAGAGGTGTGTTGTTAAGAAGGAAGAAGCATGTATAGAGGATGAAAAGGCAGTTTTAAGACAAAGGAAGAAAAACAGAAGGCAGAGTGGTGTAGAGAGCACTGTGAAAATTCCCATGTCTTTGTTTGGCGTAATAGAGTAATCTGGAAGAGTATATATAGAGTGTTTCAAATTGAGGTGTGCTAATAATTGAATATATTCCATCAAAACAAAAATAAATGCATATAAAATGTAATATTGGCTCATGGTAGATGTCATTTTCGAATCTACATTTCCAACTACTTTCTTATTTTTCTACTTTGAAATTAGGG